CAAAGCTTATCACAGAGGACTAACACATAATCAAAGATGAAATCTGTCGAACCCCATAACATGCAATCTGCTGTCTACCTACGTTGGCTTTGGGCATATTGAAATCCACAGACTAAAACTGCCGAAACTCAGAATTACAATTCTCGGCTTTTCCATCTGAGGACGAACCATTTTTTTTTATTGTAAGTAAACTGAAAAAAGGGCGTGAAACTGAAAAAAACGCGATTCAACTTCACGGCATTTACATCTGTGGTAATTCATGACGCGGTAGGAATTCCCATATTCCACCACCACCTACCACCCACTTAATATCCACATTCCCAAACGAAGTCCAATATGTTTCAGAAAAATTATAAATTGACTAGAAAAATTTTGGACCCGGTGGTGATCAAACCCGAGACCCGTTGCCACTTATTACTCCAACGAACCCGTTTAATAAAAAAAGAATAAACAGAGTAAAAATTAATCACCACAAGAGCCGAAAACTCATTCTTGTACACGGTTTGGAGAATAGTAAAAGCGAAGTTCCAAACTCGATTTTCCGCTTATTTCCTCACAGTAGCACCCAGTCAAATGATCCTACTGGATCGAGTGTACTATTATTCGAGTCAGTGAGTCGGAATTTGAAATCTTATGTAAAACGATTTGCGACGATAGGCTGAATGCATTGAAGCCAGTGCGTATTCATGGCACGAGTTCCAATCTCGCGGTCCTCGATTTAAATGTAACAAAAGTTTAATCAAATCGCCGAATTGTGAAACCGCGGAAATAAATTAAGGTTCTGTTTTTGTTCAATTTTCTCAATACATATAGGATTAGATACGTGGGACAAGAGATTTTCTGCATGTTTCATTGATCGATTTTTCACAAGCAAGTTATTTTCCCCCCGGAAAACAAAACCCCGGTATGTGATCTTATAATACCGATAGAGCTAAAAGCAGTCAATATACTTTTCATGACGCATGAGAACAGGCGAGCATGAGGTTTACTTTATGGAAGGGGGGGGGTTGGAATGCTCGTCAAACCAAAATACGCTTTCGACTTATTTTGGTACTAACAAAAATCCACAGATTGTAACCGAACCGCGACTTTTCTGTTTATAGACATTAGTTTATTACCTGGACAGACTAACGATCTACCACTTTGAAAGTCCACACAGAGTGCCATTAATACAATAAAAACTAAAAGCTATCATTTCTATTTACCAGATATTTAATGAATGAGAAAGATTAGGCATTTATTCAAAGACATATATGCGACTGCTAAGTAGTAATAGCTTTTTGTTATTCAGTGTTACTAGTAAAACAAGTAGAAAAGTCTTTAAAACACATGACGATGCCCATTAGAAAGCATACTGACACCAAACCATTATTACAAATCGTTCATTAAATTTAGCTCACTATTTTAAGGCCTTTTATAACTGTTAAAACTTGTTTTAAGCCTTACAATGAAACATAGATAGAAATAGCCAGAAGTATGATAACTATACCTTTTGGCTACGCTTTCGTCGTCTGAAAAAATAGTTTATAACATTTCTGTAAGTGGCTTGACAATTTTTTATGGCAGCTCGCCAAAACCGAAGGCTTTAGCGCTGGCGATATTCCAAGGAAAGTGGGCCACTTGAGGCTGTATTGACTTGTTAATAGCCTTATCTTGAAATTCATGCTGAGCTACATATGTAAAACGAGACGTTAGTGCTCCGTGTCGTGAAGATTTTTCGAGGGAATTTCATTGGAAGTTATATAATACGATATTTTATTTATATGATTTATCTTAAATGGCACTCTTTTATTGTAAATGTGAACATAAAAAGGAGCGAGGATATTCAAATATAAGTTAATCACAAACTTACTAGAACCGCCTCAAAGCAATCTAAATGTGTCAGGAAAACAAAATGGTGGTTAAATTTACCCTTGAATTTTAATTTAATTAATTTACTATTTCCCAGCCTTGATAGCTTGTCTACTAGCGTAACATACATATAACGTCTAGCTTTTACATTTGAGATTCAATTTTAAAATTAAATCAACATCATCTTATCGCTTTTAAAAAATACGCGTAGACTAAAAGGATTTATGCTTCTCGATCGCAAGTAGCAATGAATTTCCGATTTGTTTCGCCCACAGTGTTAGCGGTTTATTCGCGGTTTGAACGTCTGTGAAATATTTCAAATAAGACAAAATGAACTTAAAGTTATTGTATAAACATAAAAAATGATTTTAATTGTCGCCACGAGCTTGTGCTCGCGATTTGCCGAAACGGTAAACAAATATGGCTTCCTTAAATCCAGTCATAATCTATTAAATTCTTTAGGGAGGCTTTACTTTAAGTGGACGAAAAAACATGTAAAAGATCTGTATTTTGTGTGGTTTATGGATGTCAGTTTTTTTACTTTTTTTATTGCTTTTGGTAAACAATTTTTTATGATCCCGTCAAATTTGAATTAATACGTTGATATTGGAATTACTTCCGCTAAATATATTTAATAAACTTAATAAAATAATACTGTAAATTATTTATGTTAAGAAAACCTTAAATGTGGATACTTTCAGTTGTTTTTTTATATTATGACAGATTTATATTTTATATATTACAATTTATTTAGATACTTTTCCAATCACGAAAAAATGTTTAACATTTAAACAGAAATCGCTCGCTGTGGGATCCCAAATTCCGTATCCGCTTAAGAGAATTTGTCTGTCTACATTTCTGCAACCATCACTGCAGTTTCGCGATAGCAGATTAGACAAGATTTAAAATATCGTTTAACTTAAACTCTGGATAAATACACACTTCTAAAAAAAAAATTTCGTAAATAAATAATTTTTAATTCTGATACACATCAATAAAAAAAATACCAAGAAACGAGTAGATAATATAGAAATATACAAATATGTAAAACAAATCGAATCAAATATAGATAATAAAAGAGGAACTTACGAACGAACAGATCATGACATTGTCACAGATTATATAGAAATAATCTGATGAAAAGATTAAATGTGACTCATTTATATTATAATTTCAGCATGAAAAACAAATAAAGTTTAACTAGTCGAATATTAGGGATACGTTATAATTGCACTAAGCAATTTCTGAATTCAGTCAGTGTAATTAAATTAGAATTGTTTTATACGTTTTGTGTCTGCTCCTAAATGCTCACTCGGGTTAAGTGCTTGTGTAAACCCTAGCTGTTATTTGTGACCGTCTACAAAATCATTATTTAATATTGTTACTAAATTCAAAGCGTAACTTGATATTACTGAGATTAAATAAATTAAAGAATAAAATAACATACTTTATTTATCTTTATCATGATTTTTATTTATTATAAAGACAATTAAAACGGCGATAGCCACTTACATTAATTGGATAGAAGTACACAATAGAATTACACTTAACAATAGAGTATGCATCAATTACATTAGGACAAAATTTAAAAATCAGACAATTCTCTCAGTATTGATGACCAGTGATCTGCGAAAAGATCTCATTTGGGTCTTAACTTGAGGAGAGCGTTAGGTGAGGTTAAAATTCGTGGTATCGGCGAAAACGCGCGAGCAGAGGTGCGAACTCTCGGGACGTCAAAGAGATCGTGTCTTCTAGTGATAAAGCAGTATATAGCATAGAATAAAATTGATAGAGTTTAATAACAAACGTAGGCTTTCCAGCTAACTGTCCCTTCCAAGCAACCGCACTAGAAAGGCAAACACAACAAAGAGTTATGCGTGACATTACAGTAGAAAAGGTACACCAAGAATTATTACAATAGTACCTAATAATAATACAAATGGGCTTAATCTAAATGTTAGTGCAATAACTACAACTAAATTACTTAAGATAGATACTAATAGAAAATGTCGTGATGACTAGTTAACCTATAACAAACGGGATAAATTATCTAGCCTACGTCATACTTGCTTTATTTTATGAATTGAGGCAATACGTTAGGTACAAGATATCGTGGGTTTGAGTCCTTCGGAAACAATAGGTTTAGTGAGTAAAATAAAATCGATTAGTAAAACGAACACTGAAATCTATCTGCCGCATGCCCCACGTAGGCTAAACTTAAAATAATTGTATCTGTAGTATCTTTAAAGCGTCTTATTTAAAAATGGAATTGTCAAGAGGGTGAAGGTAAACTTTGTGTCACTGTTCCATATAAATTGAAAGTAAATCCCGCAATAAAGTAGCGCTTTATCCCACTTCAGACACCCAGCAACGTCTTTACTCTTTCTCATTAAATTACAGTTTTTATAATATGGCATTACGGTCGCTTTCTTCGTTGGCGAACTTATAAATACGGGTATATTTTTATGCTTAACTACATTAAAAAGCGTATGTATAGCTTATTAAGATAAAGCAGTGGATAAAAAACATGGCTTCCTTGTAATTTAAAAGTGACATCTGGCTTCAAATATTAGAAAAATCTTCAGGCATGGTAAACTTTCTTAATACTATGCAAAGTGAGTTTCAAATTAATTGTTCGCAACCTTTTTGTGTGTAAGTCAAAAGCTAGGGGTTTGTTTGAGAAGTACATTTGTCATGAGTCGTAGGATAGGATAATTTCATATTGTTTGTAAGTATTTTGTATTATTCCTTCGTACGCTAATATTCAATGATATTTAATCATAGCAACACGATATTAAAAAATCGCAAAATCAATGTAGGGACCAGTATCAGTAGAAACCAAAACAAGTTTAATTTCTCAATCCAACGATACATTTATTATGTGAAATAAAAAATACATAATGAATAAATAATGTAATTTTATAAAAGCATCATACTTTAGCGTAAGCTGGAACGTGCGTTGTTTACTTCAATACTCTGTGGTCGGCTCATGACTTTGCATCGTTTGTCAGTTGTCATTTGTCAAATGTCAAAAGAAACGCAATTTCGATTGCGAGTTGAACTTCGAATATTTGGTCATATTATAATTTGCATTTTCAGTGGCTGTAATAGTTAAATACAAATAATTTACGCAGTTCTGAAGACCAGGAATGGCTGGGAAAGTAAACAAATTTGAAACGCCCAGCTCGGCAAGTTCAGATAGGTATATCAAATGTGCTAACCTTAATTAATGTTTGTTTGCACAGCTGTGTCGTGTCAACAATATTTGCAGCCGAGAACAGGACAAGAATGTCTTTCAGTGTAATCATATTTATTAGAATCTACAGCATAGACTAATAACTTGGTTTTCTAGGGTTAGTAAACTTGATTCTGAATGAGTAATGGAGGTAGATGTTCGAAAGACGTGGATCATAACCTCTCCGACGCGCGTTGCGAATTATTTTTAGACGTCTTTACAGTGTGTTGGTTACCTTCTCTCACGCTGTATTATAGACACGTGCACATTAAACATAGTAATAATAAAGGAAGGACGAAAGAAAGATTTTTTAAAGCTTAACTTACATATGAAATGTATTAATCAAATTGAAGTTGAATAATTACAGTCTGATATTATCATGTAAACTAAAGTAAATAACTTATCTCTAATGTATACATCCAAGTAGATGCACTATCTAAACAACTTTTTATATATCTTGATAAGATTATTTATGATACAAATCAAGGTATAAAAGAGGGATTTATGGATTATTGCATTGGAGGACTTTCTCAAATATAATTGAATAATATTTTTACAATTATTGAACCAAAATAATAGTATCCTATTTTACTCATTTTGAATTAATACTTTAAATTAAGATTTGCAATTATTTTAAGTAAAAGCAACAAAGTAATAAAACATTTATAAGTATAAACCGTCATATTATTGACTGTTGAAATGCACTGCCCTTCTATTGATATGATACAGTAATGGCAAATTTTAATGGTTAACAGTGATACAGAACTGGCGTTAGAAATAAGTGAACAGGTGTTTCTCGATGATGATGACTACACTCGCGCTCCAGCATCTCCTACTACTGTCCCCAACGTGCGACCATACAGACCTCCTTCTACTGGTATGTAAAAATCAAGTTATTAAATTAACCAAGCAGGACACTCTTTTTCTTACTCATAATTTACAAAATGTATGAACATATGGGATTCTGCTTCTAAGTACGTATTTATTGTTGTGGTATCGATACAAATACATTATCTGTGAAAATTTTAAAGTTGAATTGCTAGACATAGAATGAATATCATAAAGAGAATTTCTACGTGGGTTTTGAAGCCGTCATAGTTGTGAAATTGTTTCGTCATGACGAGTCGATAAAATCATCGAAGTTTTCCATAATGGCCGCGAAAGCCTTATACGATTTATATGGAGGGTCTTTTTTGAGTATTGTCAGGACTATAGAAATATATTGTGAAATTATATATACACAATAAAGTCTTGTATATACATATCATGTCTGATGTCTGATGACTCAATGAGAGTTGCATTTATGGAAATGATCAAGTGATAACCTTACATGTTGACCTAGACTTACACTTCACTCAAGATCTCAATGAGAAAACAATCTCTGACAGTAGCTAATTATAGAAGAAGGTTTCAATAAAAAAATATGCACTCGATTAACAAGATTGTGTTGCAATAGAAAGTTGAATTATCTGATTATAAGGTTTCAGATAAAGTACTTAAGTAATACGAATATTATGTTCTTGTTTAGTTTTAAAACAATTGTGTTATAATAATAGCTCTGCTGACTACAATTACAAAACCATCAACAGTTTGTAATTGTAGTCAGCAGGTACCAACACGTGGTAATATTAGTCATTATAGAATGTATATTATTTTAACAAACTTAGAAGTACCGTTTGATAAAGCGAGTAGCACATATAAAACACTTTTAACGGCTTATAAAGTGAAATATATTAGTGAATTTATTGTTACCCATTACCCGATAGGCCTTGACGAACAGTGGTCTCCAGTGTCCGTCGGGTCATAATTCATTCATTAAATATATTTCGTGTGTGTGTTAACAAGCGTTTTACTTAATAAAATAAAAGAAACAACAGTCTAAACATGCCACAGACTGATAACTGAGTGTTAATTAATAATTCAGGACTTTTGTTTAACACGTCAAATTACATTTTGTGCGTTTTTATAGGTTCAAATATTTTAAAATCGCCGCGTGGGAGACGAGTCCGGACTACATCGATGTCTCAGCCGAACAAGAGAACGACCGCTGAGAGCATTCTCCATGCTGATCGCAGAACCATCTACACAGCTGGTAGACCGCCCTGGTATAACTGCACGGGGGGGCAGGAGGTGGAACCATTCTTAATAGGTATTCATAAATATTAATAAATATCTTCTGTAGTTTTAATATACAAGAAATAAACTGAATACACTGATCGATTCGAATATGAAAAAAAACCGAATAAAAAAGAATTATTGCGTGATGTTATTGTTTGTATATTTATGGTATCGGCCGACTTTGATTGATAAAATGGTTCTTGCGAGTTAATCTTAAAAGATATACTAACGCGGACATTTTTTTAGATAATTTAATGAGGAATCTTTCATACAAATCTTTTTGTCGCTTGATTTGTTTTCGCAGTGCACGCAACGGAAGCCCTCAAAGATTAATAAAATTGCCCTTCTTTTTTCATATTTTTATGTCTCCTATTTTTTGCTGCGTTGATTTTTCCATAAATGGTCTATCGGACTCATAAATCTTTTTCAATTTAAACCAGTAGTTCCTGAGGTTGCGCGTTCAAACAAACAAACTTTTCAGCTTTATAGTATCACTATAGATTTATCAATGCTGTTTTGGGTTCATATACCGAGTGTTTTTAGGTATTTGCGGTGCTAGTGCATCCGGAAAGACGACCGTGGCAGCGAAAATCATAGAATCTCTCAACATACCTTGGGTTACTATTGTCAGTATGGACTCGTTTTACAAGGTAATTAACCTCAAGGGTGAAGATAACGTAACTTTGTTTTAATTACAGACGTAAAATAAAAAAAGGTTACATTGTTTGTATACAAGGTTAAATATAATTAAAACACTTTCATATATACTTTTCACTTAACTACTAGAATATTTTGTTATTCTCTATCTGAACCAAATAAACTAAATCCAGTTCTTGTTGCATTTTATTTGGACACAGTAGTGTTAAAACATTGTAATTTGTATATATGTATATGAAATAAGCTTTTTTTAATAATAAATTAAAAAATAACTGGTGAGTTTATATAGTAGCTTTATTTACTATTGCAACAGGATGAAACAAAGTTATCCTTGGTTCGAATCCCGCCCGAGTTTTTGTATTTTTATTTTGTATAGGGAATAACATTAAATTCTATCGCAAACTACATACAGGTGCTTAACGAGAAACAACATCAGGCTGCGATGCGAAATGAATACAACTTCGATCACCCGGATGCGTTTGATATGGAACTACTTGAGAGTGTGCTGCAGAGGCTCAAAGAGGGGAAGAAGGTCGAGGTGCCAATATACAATTACGTCACACATTCGAGGGAGAATCGCACAGTGAGTATGGCTAGGTATTGTTATTTTTTCTTGGGCTATTGATGCTTGGTTGAGTCCATAAAATCTGCGGACCATTTTACCAATAAGCCCTCGGGAGGGTTCTTCATCTTGGTGAACACTTTACAAGACACTTTATTTAGACGTCTGAAGACATTTTTTGCAAGATAAACGATTATTATAATGATAATAATTAAACGATATTGCATCAAATTTCATGAAAATTGTGAATGTAACGTAAAATTTCATTTCAAACGCGATGGATTCAAAGAAAATTAGACTTTTGAAAACTTTAATTCTTTTTACATGTTATTGTGCACACGAGGGCACTATATAATTTAAAAGTTGAAAAAAAAATTGCGCGAGAGTTGCATGTATCAATAAATTGAAACAATTCGACGATGAGTAGGATTCGGTACCTCAGTTGGTAGAGCAACAGCACAGAACGATGACGATGCTGATTCTCAACCTGTCCGAGTCGATCATTTTTTCAAATTATTTTTGTTTTTTTTAAGAAAGTTATACTTTGAATTTATGTAGTTATTATTCTTATTGCTTATAATGCAACTGATTTACTGTCACTGCGCATTTAAAAATCTGAAAAAAATATTGTATCAGTTATTTGTTACAGAAAACAATGTACGGCGCAAACGTAATTATATTCGAGGGTATTCTTGCATTTTATAACGCGCAAGTACTCAGCAAATTGGATATGAGGGTATTCGTAGATACAGACGCTGATATCAGGCTTGCGAGGAGGCTGAGACGGTTTGTATTCGTGCTTTTTACATTGTTCATCAAAAACTAAAATAGGTCACAATTTGCATTCTCATTGTAAATAAACGAAGAGTAAACTATTAATAACATTTCATACAAACCCCAGAAAGAGATAAAATGCTTTCACAATTGGTGAGTGCTATCTCTGTCGCACACTACTATAATCTATGCTCATATACACTAAGAATGAAGTATTCTTAACAGTACAATAAAAATTGCATTTGGATGTATTATTTGTCTTTTAATATCTGAGGGACATTATAATTTTGTATTTTGATAGACGCTAAAAAGTTACAATATATTTTTAACAGGGATATAGTCCAACGCGGTCGTGATCTAGAGGGTGTTCTAAAACAATACATGACGCATGTGAAGCCGGCTTATCAAAACTACATCGCACCGTGTATGGCGCACGCCGATATTATTGTCCCACGGGGTGGAGAGAACAAAGTGGCTATATCTCTTATCGTACAGCATGTTCACAAACAATTGCAGTTGGTAAGATCTTAATTATAGCGCAATAGGGTCTCATTTAATTATTAAAAATAGTTTTTTTTTAAATTTAAGCTTTACGATACGAATTATTTATTATTCTCTATTGGGGACACCAAAATTGTCTGCTAGCCATTCCATCCATCCCTCCTCTTTTTGGACATTGGTTTACCCAACTCACACTGTGTCCCCTTTCAGACCTTCCGGTTCCTTTCCAGAATAGTAATATTTGTTCCATTGTTAATTCTTTTACATTATCATTGTTTTTATATTCTATGTCAGTTCCGTGCCCACTGTTACAAGGAGTTAAATATACTAAGATAAATCTCTCACATTGTAATTGCAGTGTATATACTCATACAGTTTCTCTTCTGTTTCGTAGAAATATTAAAAATGAAACTTGGCTTACCCGACATGCATATAGCAAGCCCATTAATGTGTCTTCTTTACTAGTCGTTCAGAATTATTTTTTAAGTTAAAAATCGATTACAGATTGAAGACAAATTTACGGCAGGAATTAAAACCGGTAATAGCAGCGTTCCGTGTTGTTGCTTTAACTAATTGAGCTACCATGTCCTACGCGTCATCGTCGAATTTTTAAAACTTATATTTTTATACCTCGCTGTGGATGCCGGTTGAAATACTATCCATGTCGTAAAAATATTTTCAATCTATAATTGATTTTTTTTATGTAGCGTCGTGTGAAAAATATAAAGGATTTCGAATATTGAAGTTGTTAATTTTTTTAGCGTGGCTTCAAAGTGCGTGAAAAGTTGGCGATTGCACACGTAGGACAGCCGGTTCCTGACTCACTCTATGTCCTCAAAGACACGCCACAGGTATCTTCCACTTAACCTAATTTACAGCCCGTTTGTCATCGATATTATCGGTGACAGATTGTATCGGCATTATAAACAAATTTGATTATCATTAAAAAAAAGCACGACCATTAAGAAATAAAATTGATCTAATATACATTTTTTTATTACATTTAATCGATAAATATGTTTGTATACATAACAATCGTTATGTGAATTATGTATTGAATGTTGTTAAACTTTAATAAATTTACAAGTTAACGTGGGCCTTAACAATGCCGCTTGCGTTATATAAATAAAAAAAATATATAAGGATACTTTTTAACGGCTAGTTCATATATAAATTTTAAGTTATTGAATTCCATATTGTAAGCTTTATATAGTATTAAACACTTGTCATATCTGGTAGTTCTCTGCGAAGGTTTTATATTCTCTAGAGACATACTTAATAAAGTACATTTTCGCCTAGATATGCAATTAAATATGTTAATTTTTATATCATCAAGACCTTTTCATTTCTTAGGTTCAGGGTCTTCACACATTTATACGGAATAAGGATACCCCGCGAGATGAGTTCATATTCTACTCGAAGAGGTTAATGCGGCTAGTTATAGAGTTTGCGCTATCTCTGTTCTCATACTCTGAACACCAAGTTGACACCCCACAAGGATTCACGTATACTGGTAATAATTAGTTAAGATATGGTAATTTATGAAAATTCAGATCCTATGGTAGGTCTAAAACAATCGAAATACTGTTTTTTTATATGGTTTGGTTCTACATTAAAACGTAGTGTTGAGTTTGTAACCTAAAGGTCGCATGTTTGAATGATTTGTTTTTTTTTATAGGTCGTAAGTGTGACGTCGAAAAGATATGTGGAGTCTCAATCCTACGCGCGGGCGAGACGATGGAGCAGGCGGTGTGTGACGTCTGTAAAGACATCCGCATCGGCAAAATTCTCATTCAGACCAACCAACAGACAGATGAGCCCGAGGTTATAATTGAAGTTATATTATATTATCACTGTCTATATAAGGCTGCTACAGGCAGAGTAGCCTAATAAGTAAAAACATAATTTTAATGAGAAAAATAAAAATGCTCAATAGATTTAGGCGAAAACGAATTTGCACTATTATTTGTGTAAGAATTATGATAACAATTTACGGTCACTGTACTCTTGTAGATAATTTTTTTAGACTATGAAAACATAGATAACTCAAGTCATAAAATTGCAGTTAGGCTACTCTGCCTCTAGCGGCCTCGTATATACTTATAACAACATACTCCGCTCAATGTATATAAGGTTTTAAACTTGAAAAAAATTTCTTTTGAGAGCAGGTACTTTTTAAGCGTCACATAATCATTTGACAAGTTGATTAATTAATTTAAAACTTATGATATTGAGACATTTTAAAAGAAACAATGATATCGACATTTTTAGATGTACACTGCCATCTAGGCATCGATTTGGATATTAATTTACCTTTATTTAAGGTAGAATACCTTCATTTTTTGTTAACAACAGATTAAACACCGTCTCAAATTTTATTAACCCTTTAATACTTGCACCTTTCGAGGGAGATATCAAGTTTAAATTGAAAAAAATTATTTAAATTTAAAATTTATTTTTCATTTATATTGTGCCATCACGTGCAACATGTGAAACATTAAAGTTTTCAAACGCCTCACGTTTGTTTATCCTTCAGCTGTATTACCTGCGTCTCCCAAAAGATATTAAGGACTACCGCGTGATCTTAATGGATGCTACTGTGGCAACTGGTGCTGCAGCCATGATGGCCATCCGGGTGCTACTCGACCACGATGTACCTGAAGAGCACATCAGTCTCGTTTCTCTGTTGATGGCCGAAATTGGAGTCCATTCTATCGCTTATGCCTTTCCTAATGTAAGTATTGTTCATTTTACGATATATATGTAAAAACATATTGTTAAAATTCGTTAATTTAGGGAAGAACTATTTATTATAACGTTAAGTGTAGTGTTTAAGAAAACTAAAATTTATTAGTAGATAGAAATCTGAGGTTTTTTTTATTATAGAGGAAGACAGACAAGCTTGTGTTCATTTGATGGTAGATTTGGATATCCACAGACTGAAACCGTAACGCGATCAAACTTTACGCCTTTTTTTTATCTGTGGACGTTGGTTAGTGACCCGGACTAAGAATCTAATTCCCGGCCCGTTGATTATTAGCCCTACATTGCCCGTCAAACTTTTTAAACATACATTATATTTATACCTGAGTTTGGGTAAACACCTTTTTTATGTTATAGGTGAAAATAATAACATCAGCCCTCGATCCAGAGATCAACGAGAAGTTCTACGTGTTACCGGGCATAGGCAATTTTGGTGACCGCTACTTCGGTACGGAACCCTCCGACGATGAATGATAGTCACCTAGGAGCGAAAGAGACGGCGACACCGCGCGACTGAGACGGTATAATGTTTATCCTAAAGCTTGTTACTTAGTTAATTTATATACGGGCCATTGTGTAGTCTGCTTTTGGTTTATATAAAACGTGGTATCAATTGTACGATTGTACGTTGTATTATAATTATTAGGTTTATAATATTACTAATGACCAAGCAAAACCCGGTGAATTAACAAGATAAGTTAAAATTGTAATAATCTATGATTTAGCGACTGCATTGGGTAATTTAAAGCCGAAAAAGATATACAATAAGACTTCTAGAAGGTTCCATTTGTATCTAGTCAAAAAGTACATGAAATTAAAACTTGTATAACTCCTGTATGGCGTTACTTAAAAATTATTTATTTCCATTGAATTGTTGCCCTTTGAAGACTTTAGTTGCTTAGTTTACCAAAGAATTGGTTTGTATTAGGCATAACAAATAATTATAAGGCTGTGGGTCTTAACATCGTCGTGTACAGCGTCACACGATACAACGCTTATTAAATTAATATAGTGTTGTCTCCTTCACACTAGTATCTAGTTATTCAGATCATCATACTTGTGAGGTATTGTTTGTCCACACCATTGTGAACTAGTCTTTCGCGCATTTTAGGTACTCACTAGAAAAATTAATTACGCGTAACGCTGTACGCGCTTTCAGCATTCTTTGTTTACATTTCTTTTTCTTAAATTTAATATCATTGTAAAGAAACACAAAATGGTTATACATAAAAAGTATATTCTTCAAACAGTGCATTTAATGTAACAGCTTAACAGATTTATATAAAACACTATCGGTTTAAAACGCGAAATATATTGGTTTAACTTATTTAAAAATTACTATAACTACAATCAGACGTTTCGGATGCTTTGCAGCAACTGTGTCCACGGGCTTGTGGATAAGTTTAACTTAAATGTTTCGCGTTTTAAAACCGTTAAAGTGCAGACTGTAAACAGATAGTTTATTCCTTACTTCTGCTACATGACTGCTATGTTTTTGGTGGTAAACAGTACAATGTACGTTATTTTATAACTCTATTCGAGTACCCTTAAGAATTCGTATATTTTTACGAACTCGGCGTTTTCTCGTTTTGTTTTTGTCTTGTCTCTTGAGTGAATTAGCAGAATCAAGATCATAATAATTCAAGCTACATATAAGACGTACTTGAAAGTTATACAACAAATAATTTATAAATAATATTCTATGATAAAAATATGTTTTTAGCATTTCCACATCCGGTGTTTTAATATCAAAAAAATAAATATGTTTATTGTACGCTCATTCCAGTGCATTGTCTGCCATTTTATTTTTACGCTCCTGTCACTTCCAGTATTAGGCCAATTCTCTTTTTCTACGTAATAAGACTTATATTAAGACCTCGCTGTTAGCAAAAATACTTAGATATCTTATTTATTGTCTGTGGTTGGTCATTGTGGAAATGTTTTTATACCCTCCGCGTATAAAATATATATATACTCTGTTTAGTTTACGTATAAGCATTCTAAAGAACTTCACGACTAAGACTTTTGGATTAACGCAGTCCACTGTCCAACCTCAGAAACACATTTTGGTTAAGTTAACCTCAAATGGTTATTTAAGTTTTGTAAGGTATGTGTAAGTACTAGTAGTTACTTAAGTATACTGAGTACTTTAGTATGTTATACATATAACTGTACTATCTATGTTAAAGCATATACAAAGTTCTGTAATATTGTTTGTAATTGTAGGATGTACAGTATGAACAGCAAATATTTAAAAAAACGTAACAATATTTTGACGTTACTTCGGTTGTCGATTACATGAAATTATGATAAAGCCACTACTTTTCTTACATCTTAATTCTACTATGCGACATATTGGTAATAAAACAATGCTCTACTGTATAGTAAATATTAGTTATAGAAAAACAAAGATAATACAATTCTTTGTACGTAACAAGCGCATAATATTTGTAATCATAATCCAATTATACAACTGATCTTTACGCTCTAGATTTATGATGTGGAATCGATATTATCTCAAGACGTCGTTCTCGTAATGACATCTGTTACTTGGTGGCGCAATAGTGTTATGTGATGCCTGGATATTTATTAAGTGTTTAGGTAACATTAGTCTGATGAAGTCACCCGAAGACGATTAGACTTTATATTACAGGATTTCACCCCTTCATCACACGGGACTCCTAGACTATGTAGTATGTAGTCTAAGAGTAAAAACATTTTGACATACTATCTTGTCCGCTAGGGGCGCTGTTTATAGACTTATATAGACGACTTTAATACTTTTCCAATCATAACTGAAGGACTGATATTTATAAATCAATAAAATTAATTTAGAAGCTTTAACTACATTTTCGATAAGGTTATGTGTTTTACCAAACCTACTCATTGTTCCTAGATGTAAAGTAGTGTTTTATCGATTCCATAACTTAAACCTAGGATCTTTATATTGTTAAGCACAACTATGTGTACGTATACTTAATTATGTGTAAATCGCTGTGAATATAAAAAAATAAAAGAAATAAACAAAACAATTACGAACGAACTTATTATTAGTTTATGGCAGCTTTGAGATCACGGGTTTTATTGAATATAACTGCGCCCCAAACCTGCTATTCACAATGCCAACGTACCAAAACAGTATTCCTAAATAAAACATTTTTAACGTCTTCAAACGCGAAATACATAATGTAACTTATTACAAACGTTTCAGTTGCCTTACGGCAGCTAGACTGCTAGTTCCTACATGTGGGGTCATAGTCAAAAATAAATTAATAGATCGCATTTAAACCGTTGAAGGTGTTTTATTTAATTTGAACTACGCAGAAAAACTACAGACTATACTGCAATTATACTTATAGACGCTATGTAGGTCGAGTTTTGACGTCTCAATGGTAAGACACTTGTTTGTGAAATAGCATACTTGGGATCTTATCAGGATTCAATATTGCTGCGCATATACAAACCTAATTTCCAAAAAGCTTTTGACATCGACGGTCATTTCAGACTCATTTGAGATTTCTTGAGACAAATCATTTTGACAGAAACGAAGCTGATATGGGCTAATTTAAGTTATTGGTAAATAATTATAGGATATGTAAATATGAAGGAATGATTTTCGTTCTTAGATAAAAGCCCGCTTCTTTAAAAAAAAAGTTATAATCATAAACCAAAGACATAGTGAACAAGGCACGGGTCCTGTTTTGTTTTAATTCATAAAAAATTTTGACATTATAACTTTTAATGTTTGGCGTCCACTGAGTTGTAGGTCCGAGGTAAAAATTCTATTCGAGCTTACAACAATCGATGTCAAAAAGTTGTCAAATGTGATCGCAGGTGTCCAGGTACCTCTGGAAAACGAAGTCGAAATGTTCGCGTTTCGTGGCCACGCCTTCGTGGGCTTGATTCTTTCTGAAAATTAGAATAAATAACGTTAACTTTCTTATGATTGAGTACCGACAAAGTTCACATGGTGGGATATGAAATAACCCAGCCATATAACATTTAAACTAGAAATACTGAACATAACTAACAGATTGAAACTCAAACGTAAACTTCACCTGTGGACAGTGGTTCGTGACCCGGACGGAATTTCGATATTCTATTAAGACCGCCCGTTTAACATCCAGATTTATAGAGAAAGTCCAACATGTTTCCGAAACCGCTACATAGCTACCAATGGGTCCGTCAAAAGGTTTTTGTTTGCCTCTGACAACCACAGAAGCAAACAATATCGATATTTAGAATACAGTTGATAGAAAGAACGGAAATTTACTAGTACCTACTTGGGGTTCTGGTTGGAATATTAAATTTACAAGATAATTATTAAAATGTATGCTCCTTATTTGTTTTTAAAGTCAGGTCCATTGTGACTTGTGAGCAAAGCGACGGGGAAAAGCTACCCTATATAACTCATTCAAATTTTTTTCTGTGTTAGCCATAAAAAATTATTTGTCAAATTACTTACTTGTAATATTCTTCACATTCTTCCAAAGTCACATCGCTGCTGATCACACGCGATCCGAATCCGCTATAGTACGATATATAACGTTGCTGAAAAAAAGGTAATTTGGACTTGAATTTTAACAGTATAAAACGCGAAATATTCCATCGTGACGACGACTAGTATAAAGCAACTTCGAGCTGTAGTTAGTAGTAAATAAAATAACCCATATATTTTGCGTTTCAAACTCTTTAAAATGTTTTATTTGATTTGTGTTATGTAAAGTACAGACGATCTAGGTATAGGTACCTACAAATAGTATAAAGCCGAAGATTTGCTTTGTTTGAACGCGCTAGTCTTAGGAAGTACTGGTACGAATTGAACATTTTTTGTGTTGGTTGGATTATTTATCTACGAAGGCTTATGGCTATTAAGAATCAGGAGCGATAAAAACATAAAGAAGAAGAAGAGAAGGTTCGTTGCGCGAAGAAAACGATAAAGATACTCAAAAAATATGATGAAAGAAGGATTCTCGTTCAAATGATCTAAAAAAAAGCGCCAATATATGTCTATCTTATAAGATTAATTTGCAAGAATGCCGGAACGCATATGACGTCGAGGGTACCTGACAGCTATAATTTATACAGCTGAGGCGGATGCTCGCAGAAAAAAGGATGCAAAAAGAAATCAAATATCAATCGTTTAGTGACGGGGTTTATGGGTCTACGGCTTCGAATACCATCTGCATTAACGTTCAACAATTAGTTTTTGCTGGACTCTGCTTAAGGAAAAAATCTACCTGAACTTGTTTTGAAAAAATCTGTTCTGCAACGATGTTGGCAGCAATCCGTAGTCCTTTCGCGATGCTGTCTATGTACTTGACATAACACACCACCAGGTCACGAAGCTCGCTGTCACGAGACACTGACAGCTTAAAGTTAATGCCGCCCACTGGTATGGAGTTCTAAAAACGTTTAGATTACATTTTTAAAGCTTTTTCTTAATTGTATGTATAGTGTATTTTTTCTAACTTGGCATTTTTAGTAAACAATTTTTATGAAATCGACAAAGTCAACGACAATTGAAAGTAAAATAATAGTAATATCAATTATTAAAAAATGATTTGAACGAATTTGGTGCATATATAATCGATGATTCTTCCCTGTGTCATAAACAATATAATTATGAGGTCGTCACTAGTTCTCTTTGATTTAAAATCGGCTACACGAATTCGAATAAAAAATTCTATCCCATATATTTTTATATTTACTATCCCGATTTTCAGACGAAGTCTAGCATGATTCAGAAAAAATTATAAATTGGTAAAAAAGAGAACCTTATGGACATCGAACTCCAGCCTTTGCAGCCTGCAAAGGAGCTCGTCAATAATAATATTACGCATTAATAAATTTCCTTAACCTGATCTATAATGCTTTTCATCATCAATGTGACAGATTTAGTATTGGACAAGTCGAAGTCGTTTGTAACTGTCACTCCTCCCAACATATTGTACCTGAAAAATAGAGATTTCATGGTTACTTATTCTATTTAGGTCTTTTTTCCTGTATTTAACCTCGATGATAGGTCATGACATTCATAGGTCTTTTTGAGAATCAATGTTGAACTGCAATACTGATTTTGAGGAAGTGTATTGCTTCTAAAGCAATGCAACGGTAGTGAATATAATTTCGATGACAGTCCTGCTGTTAGGTAATGTTTTGTTCGAATTGAAAAATTCTCATTTGTTGTGGTGGATGTGGTATTTACCAGGAAAACTTAAAAACTAGGCTATAAAACACAAAAATGTGTGTTTAATCCCGTTTCCCCCTTGTGGGGCATGGGGCGAACACATTTCTGTGTCCGTTTCACTGATCCGTTTTTTTTTAAACGGCCCAAATTTGTAGTAACGAATTATTATTTTTCAAATAATTAAATCTAATTTTGTCCGCAACAGTATCATTTTAGATGAACCGTTCCTGTAGTAAATTTCGTTGAATACTTCATACGACAAAAGATCGTTTGCCAGGTCAGCTAATATCAAATAGAAACCCAAAAACGGTAAAACTACTTACACATTCGCCATATACATATGATGCCCAGGCGGCGAACACACCTTGTACTGACGTTCCAAGCCATAATTCTTCAGGAAGAACAGACAGCTCGTTATATCCCACATGTAGTAATGAACCAAGTCGCTCTCCCTCCATTTTCGCTGAGCTGACTGATACGGCATTACCAATAACTGTATTTTGGAGTTCAGACGATCCTTGTATTCGGCGGTTATTTTTAGGAGTTTAACGAATACTTTTAACTCTCGCGCAACATCGGATTGGAAGATAGCATCATATCCCTCACGGTGTGGCCAGATCAGGAAACACTCGCCGTTCAAGCGATGTGTAACTTCGAGACATTTTTTGATCTGTGACGCCGCTTGGGCAAAGGTATTAGCGTCGTTGCTGGTGATCGCTCCAGTGGAAAAACTGAAAATTTTATAAAACTCACAATGTTCTATTCGAACCATTTCTGGGGTTTGTAATTAATAAAGTTAGTAAATAAATAAATAATAATAATAAATGTTTATATTTAAATTTATTTCCGAACGCTGTCTGCATTACGCGAGAGTACACATTTAAATAAAACATTAACAGTTTAAAAACGCGATAGTTAAACTTATTTCAATATTTATTGAATAGTTTCCCCGTGACCACGGCTGCTGCAAAGCATCCGTGTAGTCACGATAATTTTCAAATAGTTTAAATAATATATATCGCGTTTTAAACCGTTAAAGTGTTTTATTTTAATCTATTTCTCTCTGTCACTGTTAGAACAACAGCACGGATCGCTGTGGATGCTTTTTCAATCTAAATTGATTTTTGATGTATTAAGATTGTTTTTAACATTACACTTGGTGGTAATATACCGTCATGTGTATCTTTAAATTAATAAATTTTTCAGTCATAATATCTACGTCCACTTTTCACTCTAATTATGGAAGGAAGCGCTATCTACTACTATATCACAAATACACAATGACATATGGGGGTGGTTAAAAAAAACGGGAGGAACCTGGATGTAATTGTCATATATGTAGAGATACGCCGACTACACTTATTCCGAGTAACTAGTACCAACTTTTACTCGGTTCAAGTTTTATTCGACCGAGTACTCGGCCGATCACTCAGTGCAATCAAATTCTCACTTACAAGGACAAACAAGTCAAGACGTCGGCTCGCTCTCATCTGCTCATAGTTTTGTCTCATAACTACTCATTCCTTAACATAGTTAGGATTGTATTAATTTAAATTTTGAAAACATTAATATTTTTTACTTGTTATTGCACATAATGGTACTATATAGGTTAATAATAATCGAAATAAATTGAAAAATTTGACTGGCAGGAGCTTGCTCTACCAATTGAGCTACCAAGTCCTACAAGAACAGTGTAGTACAGTACAGTCCTACAGTGTAGGACTTAGTAGCTCAATTGGTAGAGCAACAGCACGGAACGGTGACAATGCCGGTTCAAGTCCTGCCCGAGTCGAAAATAGATATATAATAAACTATATTTAAATTAAATCTTATAAAAAAAATGAGTTACAACAGCGCGAACTACGCCACATATAACCAGCTAAATAAAAGCCAGCTAATAAATAAATATATTTTATTCATTAAATTTCACGAAGATATATTATATAATAAAGATGTTTTAATGTTAAAATTATAAAATCAATATTAGAAGTACCTTACCGTGGGTGTATATGCAAATCTGCTGCCAACCACAGCAACTTCACGTGATATCTTTGTCCCAACTCGTGAATGTATTCAACAATATCATCCCAGTTCGTCTTATTCTCATCCCAACTGTCACTCAACGGTAGCAGGTCGGAGTCAAACGCGGTCCAGTATTTGATGCCCAGTTTGACACAGAGATCGAAGAACGCCTTGATGCAACGTTTATAGTTGTCCATCGAGTGGGAATTGTCGTCCCACGGGCGGTGGTTGCTTATTTTTGGATGTTCTGCGTCTAGAATTTAAATGATACGTTTTCGTTACGTAACGCGTTACGGTAAGTCTCAGAATGTACTTTGATTTCTCTTTTACAATCCGCATGGGAAGCAGATACGTTTAAGTATTCACGCCTTCTGGATGCTATTTGATGCATAACTCTTTTTTAATACTATACCTACAGCAGGCACCAGGCTCTCACAACGTGATACATGTAAAATTAGTTACTTGTAAGTTTATTGAAAACTGTAAAGTTGTGAGTGCTAAATAAATAAAATAAATTATAAAATTATTATAAAATAAATACTCTACAATTTGATGTTAATACACAAAAATATAACAATGACAAAATAGTAGAGATAAAGCATGTTAAAATATATATAAGAGGCTGCTAAAGGCAGCAGAGAGTATCCTAACTGCAATTTTATGACTTGAGTTATTAATATTTTCAGAGTCTGAAAATGTTAATCACCAGAGCACAGTGACCGAAAATTGTTATTTTTACACAAATAGTACAAAATTATTTTCGCCTAAGTTAATTGCGCATTTTTATTTTCAGCCTTATTTAAAATCATGTTTTTTCTAATTAGGCCTCTCTGCCTCTACCATATATAAATGTTTAATGAGTGCTAAACACAAATAGCTAGTCGTAAAAGTAAATTGGCTGATTTATCTCGCGTTTAAACTGTTAAGTGTAAATTCAAAATAATCTTAAATTGTGAAACCTAATGTGAAGCTTTCATTAAATACATATTTTAACTTTAATCAGTTAAGTAAAAAAAAAAAATATAGCCACTTTTGTACTCAACTTACTTGCATTTCTGAACTCCGTCAATGAAAGGCTGTACTTGAGCCAATCTTCCATGGTCTTGGCGTGGACTCGCTCTGCTGCATTGTAGTATCGGTAACTCAAAGTTTCAGTTGCTGCTGCTGCATTGTTGTACTCGATTTTCTCTATTCCTAGGACAGCAATGTTGTGTCAATTGGTAGGATCAAAGAACATGAAAAAAGATGTAGGGTCAAATCCTTATATTTATAGTTTGCGAATGATAATGCGCATGAGTTTTTTTTTAGATTTATAAATATATAATAGTATCACAGTACCTACTGGAGTTTTCGACTAGCTCGCTGGTCTATGGTAGCAATGTATGGCTAATAAGTATAATATATATATATAGTAATAAGTCAGTTTTAGTCTGTGGATTTCCGAATATCCAAAGCGAAAATAAGTCAACAGCACATCTTGTGTAGATGTTATATGACTGGGGAACCCCATGTTTGCCTGTCATTCTCTATCATAAAAAAAAACGAACTTACACCCAATCATTGCCTGCTGTAAAATTCAATTAAACAACTTTCACTTTTTTCGACTTGTTCTATCAATGGGAAATCTTTGGAAATCTCATATATTAATAAACATTGTGGTGTTGCTTTTCTAGTTACTCATGTCTGATATCTGACCTTGAAAATAGTCTCCAGAATCTGCTGATCTGCCCTCCTTCACTTTTTGCCGCTTCCCACCAGGCTGGCTATACGTCGTCATCTCCGTAGCACTATAGTGGCGCACGATTCACCGCTTAATCTTATATAACATCATTTGAATGGGATCAGCCAGACGTAACTGTGTCATGTTGCCCTTTGTTTTAACTGGTTTGTGATGTGTACTTTAACATGATATCAAATAGAATGAGGAGTATCAATTATCGTTACGTGTACTCTGCAGAGGTCTATCATTATCTGTTTAGCATAAAAGCTTATACAAATTCACAAAAACACTATTAAGCAAAATTTAAGTCAGGAACTGTTCTCATCTTAATTTTTTTTGTCTATCTTTAATCAAGTCATACTTCTATGTAAGCAATCTATAAGGCCTTAGAACTGTTTTTTTAAGTTATATTCTAATGTCATTGGACTGTGAGTAGACTTAAATAAAATAAATAATAAACCATTTGGCATTTACTTAAAAGTTTCCAGACTGATTTTAAACTATTATTAAAGCTAAAAAGTGGTTGATCTTGGTTGGATCTATTAAAAGCTTTCTTATATTGAAAAAATGTTATATAATCTCTCTTAATTCCTTAAGCACTATACTTATATAGTTACTTCTCTATAATCATTTTTCAGATTCTAGATTTAAATACTGTCTGTAATTCACCCGAATAGGATACATTTAAATAAAACACTTCAACGGTTTTAAACGCTATATATATATGTTAAACTTGGCCGTGGTCAGCAGAAATGGTCACCTGCAAACGCCACCGTATCTTTGCACCACGGCTTCTGCAAAGCATCCGAAGCATAGCGGTCGTAGCTAAAATAATTTCCCAATAAGTTTAACTAATATATATCGTGTTTTAAACCGGAAAAGTGTTTTTTCTAAAAGATTTTTCAAATGGAAGAATTCAATATGATCAGCTGAAAATAAGCTTTAAAATCTTTAAGCGAAGTGCATTCATTATTGTTTATTAATGAATAAGTTATTCATTGAACAAATAGAGTGAAAATAAAATAAAAATATTACTAAATAATTTATTATCTATAAAAATATCCATAACAATCGTAAAAGCACAGCGGCCAACAATACAAAAATGGGCAACGGGATCTTTTTACTCCTCTCTTGCAGTCCCGACACTTGTCCCTTCTTCAGCGGCTGAACAAGACCCGTCATTCTGGGTCTTTTAATCGGCTCACCCAACATTGAGAATTTGGTCGCACTTGTAATTTTAACTGTCAGCATTTTGCCCATGTATTTGTCTTCTTTTGGCACCAACACCTGCTCGTAGAACTCGTTGTGGGCCACGAAGTAGTTCTTGTCGTGAGATATATCTGTGACTAAGACCTCTTGAGTTTCGCCCACTTTGTGGCCATACGGTTCGTAGGATCTGAAAAACTCAGATAGAGCTTTGGTGCGTTTCTTTACTTCTTGTCCTGGGACCTGGAATTATATCATTTTTGATTATAACCTCCAACTAAACTGAGTTTCCAGTGTCATTTTTTTTATCTTTTTCGTATTAATAAGAATTGAACCATTCTTCGATGTAAAAAATATATCAATCAAGCGTATTTAAAATTGTTCTTTTAAAATAAGTAGGTAAATCAAACTAAACTAAACTGGCAAATGGGTAAAATTTTTTCGAAAACCTTATAATTTTAAATCAAATATTAAACTGAAACAAATAAAATAAACTTTTTATTCAAACAATTACACGTTTATTATAATGTAATTGTCAGATAGAACACATAAAACTACCTTTCGCATATTCGCTGCAGGCGTTCCAGCTCTAGGGAAAAACTGGTTTATGAAGAGCGATGGAAATTTGTACTGGCGACATAGAGACATCGTGTCCTCGAAGTCTTGCTCGGTTTCAGTTGGGAATCCACAGATTATATCAGTGGCTATAGTCATACCGGGCACTCTAAAATATAGTAATAATACACCCACTTAGTATACAAACCAAATAACAAAAATAAGAAATATGGAATATAGCATGCGTTAATACTGGCATACGGCATCTACAATAAATCTGACAATTTGTTTACTATAGATTATTTTGGCTTTATATTCGGAAATCCACAGGTTGACACCGAAACGTGATTAAGCTTGACAGTTTTTTTATCTGGACGATGGTTCGTAATGCGAACGGAGATATTCTAGATTTCCAGACAAAATCAATATATTTAAAAAAATATATAAATCGCTTAGAAACTTGTTGGTTGTGGTGGAAATTAAATCCACAACTCCTTGATTACTAGGCTATACTGATATACTAGATTACTGATACCCACCCGCCTCGGAGAAAATCAACGACTCTTTGAAAGTCCGCCCGGCTGTACTCTCGCTTCATGTCTGATAGTACCTGATCGCTTCCTGACTGAACAGGAACATGAAGAAACCTAAATAAGATGATATAAGAAATTTTTAAATCCACAAACAATATAATAAGGCCTAAATAAATTTGCCTTTACTTTGTTAAATTGGCTACCTAAGAATGATAAAATTACCTATTTCAAACATACATACTTGTAAACTCTTGGATGGTGCATGATCTTAGCCACTTCCTCCAGATGCTCCAGAATATATGGGGGATTGGTCATGCCCAGACGTAAGCGACATCCTTCGGGTATAACTTCCACAAGTTTCCAGAGTAATTCTGGAAGAGACGTTCCAATATCTCGGCCGTATGTGCCTGTTGAAAATTTGTATAAACATTAAACAAAGTAAAAAATATGGTTAAGAAATCTTTTTTTATAATTTACAGACTTTGGCCTCATCCTAGTTCACAAAGATACATATTTCAGTAAATATTGTACTAATAAATAAAAGTCAAGTTAACTTAAAAATTAGTAACATTATCAAACCTTTTGTTGTTGTAATATATTATATATTCTATTATCGAACAAAATCCTATTACTCCAACACGATTCTTAAGTAGCCCAACATATGGACATGAACATATGGGGGTTCGGACGAAATTACAGAAGATGAGATCAAAGAATTACAGATGGAAAAAATTATAAGATTCTGCAAGCAAACCCGGAGGGGTTTGAAGGGGACACGGGGAGAGTTGGATGACCCAAAACCTCCACAAGGTGGAAATGGGGAAATGGGTGAAATGGTCAGCTGATAGTGTGAACTGATCACCCGTCTATCTAGGGGGGCCCCCCAGAGAAAATAATAAGTAGCCCAACGAAATTAATACTAAAAGCTGGCAGAAAGATATACATACCTGTGTCTTCACTCGTCAACCAGATCTCAACAACACCCTCTTTGAATGACTGTCTAGCCCTTTCTACAATCTCATCTGGTGGGTAACTTCCCAATTCCCCGCGTGCATGTTTAGTTTTGCAATATGTACATTGGTTGAGGCATCCAGTATTTATTGGGATAATCTCTATCAGAGGATTCTTGCGAACTTTTGGTAGCAATAGTGATGCACCACCTGCTTTACGGCCTTCACCAGTTTTCTTTGTACCAAATAGACGAACAGTGTGGCCTAAAATTTTTAATTATTCAAAAATATTTATATGGCTTGCATTCTAATATTATAAAACACGTTTACTATTTACTTTATGGTATGGTAATAATATATATAGTTTTTAATATTATGCAAATATTTGTAAATTTAAAACACACACCTTTTAAAGTCTCTTCCACAATTTCTACAATCCTATCGATTTGCTGGACACCAACCACACTAAGACCTGCGAGGTATGATGAACGAGGTGCACCTTGAGGCACACAGCCAGCTACCACCACATGAATCCCACGACTTTGACCCAGCTCTATTTCATTCCTGTGAAATTTAAGTAATTCATATTTTTACATTTAACTTATCTCAGTTTAAGTTCAGAAGTCTACAGCAATAAAAAGTATAATAAAACATATTTTTGTATAAAATATATATTTAAAAAAAACACTTTAACGGTTTAAAACGCGATATACATTAGTTAAACTTTATTTAAAATATTTAATCTAACTACGGCCTGATGTTTTAGATGCTTTGCAGCAAAGTTGGTTTATGTGTACTACTTATGTAAACTAGAAACAGTATTTAAAATTGACCCTTCATCTTATCATTTTAAAGTACTAATGTTTAGAAATTTAATAAAGCAAATCTCACTTAAAATGGTCTTCTGAAGGACTCTTTACTGTGCAAGAGTTTAACAGCCACAGCTGTGCTTGCCATTTGTCTTCTGTGAGTTTATAACCATGAGCCGCCAGGAGCCCTGCCATGTATTCCGAGTCCGAGTTGTTATGTGCACAACCCCATGTCTTGACGTATATTGTTTGGGTGCCTAAAATACAATGAAACTTGGTACACAGAGTGAGTAAAAGCAAGCAGTGGAAAATAAAATCTACATATTACCTTACAAAATTTTAAACTTCTATACGGTGTATATAATTAATTTATTACGTTATCTGTGTATATTAGTTAACCAGCTTTAATTACATACAAAATATACCGAAACTTTGGAGGTTACCTGGGACAACACTCTCCAAAATAATTTTCTCGGGTGTCTCGATTACTTTTTCCCGTCGCTTTGATCGCACGTTCACATTTTTTCTACTAGCATATCTCTCTTTGGGCGTGATATCTTGAGAAGATATTAAATCTTCAATATCATCTATAATTTCCGTAAATGCAGCTGGCATTTTCAATGTTATTTTTAATTATGAAATTACGATACGATCCGACATACTTATCAATTGTCAAAATTGGGCTGTCATTTTGACATTTTTGACTGACAGTTGACAGCACCATTCATAAAATTTTGTCAGTCAATTTCAAGAATGCTTTTCATCAGTCATTGCAGTTGCGCGCTAGAATCATATGTAGGTGGTTAACTAAACTTCTTCAAAACTTTACAATTTGTGTTCGTAGTTTTTAAAGTTAGTCAGTGTTAGTTTAAATTAAACCAAAGTGTATAACTGTGTAAAACGATTTTATATACAAGGTAAGTTGATATAGCATCGAAATTTTTAGGATAAGAAGTATATTAAAATCGTAATTGCTCCCATAACTTATTGGGTGCAGGCTTTACGTTTTCACTATTAATGTTTTACCAATTAAGGGCTACGTTTACTGACTTTTTACAAATTGTAAACCTTTACCTATAATTTTGTGCTCAAAAATATTTCTTAAATGGTTCAGTGGCGGTAATTTATAACAAAGTTATAGTAATTAAAGGTTACACGTAAAAGATGTACATTTTGGCGCTACTTCGTTTTTTTTGTATCCTTCTGTCGCAATACCTACGACCCTATCTCTCTGAAAAAAAAAATAATAGCGACCCCGCACGCGCCCCATCTCTCACCTGCCGTTATCCCAGGTTTGAGAACTTTTAAATTACTTTTTTTGACAGCCACATACTTATTCAATTCTATTTATTTTTCAACAAAATTCTCTATTTTTATTGTTTCAGTACATAAACAAATTTAAATAATTCGGTCTTATTTTACAAAGATAATATCATTAAATTCGAGCCTTTTTTAACCTGAAAAAACGTGATGCTAAAAATCAATATAAAATTGCCTTAGCAATTGACACTTATAGGAACTGCCTTTAACACCAGGAGTTGAAACATTTTATCGAAGGTCGTAGGTTATCTTGCGATCTCTCTCGCGACCCAAATTGACGCGATATTTGTGCTAATTTTATTCCTTAATTAATTAACTACAAACTTAGCATATTGGTATGCGAAGTATATAATACACATGCGTTTTAATATATAACCTTTAAACCTTATTGCCTAAATAGTACATTTTAAATTTACAAATAATCTAATCCTACTTATACATTTAAATAAAACTTTTTTAACGGTTTGAAACCCGAAGTATATTATAACTTTTTTATATGATTTAAATAAAACACTTTAACGGTTTAAAATGCGATATATTAGTTAAACTTATTTGAAAATGATTTTTAACTTCGACCCGACGGTTCGGTGTCTCCCCGTGACCACGGCTGCTGCAAAGCATCCGAAACGTCGGGCCAAAGTTAAAAATAATTTTCAAATAAGTTTAACTAATATATCGCGTTTTAAACCGTTAAAGTGTTTTTTTTAAATGTGTACTACTCGCGTAAACTATAGACAATATGTTTTTTATATGGTTTAAAATTAGGTACCCAAAATACCTACCTATTTCGTGTAACAAGCATAAAAGTCTTTTATACTCTACTACTCGAAAACTATAGAGAATACTTACTCATATATATAACACCACTAATTAAATTCATTCAACAAGAAACATTAATATTATGTACCTATATGTTCTACTTTAATTAATTTTCTGTAATGTGAAGTAAGTCTAGATCATTGTAGATTGGCAAATGGTTAATACTATTACATTACTATGGAATATTTACTTACTTACTTATGTTAGTAATAGTACCGACTAAGAGAAGTAGTGGAAGTAAGCTTGTATACACAATAGTGTTACACAAAAACACAAAAATAACCTCGTTACTTTTCTAAGGGATAATGGTGTTAATTTGGGTTCATTATGTTTTGTTTTCGTAATCATCCAGTGAGTTGGTAACGTCTTTGTTAACAAATCTGTCAGTTGTAAACTGGCCTAGAAGCAAAAATGATACAAGCCAGGCAAATGTGTGTTTATAATACATAATTGAAACTTTAATAACGGCTCTAAACACGAAATTTATTGCTTGATATATTTCGAACCCGATGTTTCGTATTAATTGCTGCAGTCGTGCTGTGTGCTATTTTTCTTGTTAAAAGTTTTGGCAATATATGTTTTTTTGTTACAATTCTTATGAAATTTAAATAATATATAAGATAATAATCTAAACTTAGATATAAAAAAAAAAAACAAAAGAACGCACAATTATTTCCATTTTTTTGTAGTAACTTGTTAAAAATCGGTGTTCTCGCCTGTGTCATCGATATTTAAATCTTTCGAAAATCCATTTTCAATTGATAAGCAACCAAATTCCTTCTTCAAATTCCTTACACTGTCGAAAGCTCACAGTCTAGGGAGACAGCAAGTAGTCGATGAAATATCGTTCGTAGTAGGCACACGTAAACAAGAATGGTCATAAGATATCATATTTACGGCAGTTGCGTCAATAGGCTGGCAACACTAATTGTTTAGCGGGATATCTGCCCTACATAAACTAATTACTATTCGCTTGCGATTATTGCCAGTGCTCGTAGACTGGACAATTCGGTAGGTAACTACGAGTTAGACATAATGTACCAAAAGTTTACATTTCTACTCCTTAGTTTAGTATTCAACATATCCATATCTCTACAGAGGCTTAGAGAGAGTTCCTAATAACAAAAACCACGATTTCCAATAAGGAGGAAAATAAAAAAGGCGCAACTTAGGCGAAAATGAATTTGTACTATTATAAAGAATTATGTTAACAATTTTCAGTTACTGTGCTCTTGTAGATTAACATTTTTAAACTATAAATTATAGTTAGGCTACTCTGATAGAGCCTCATATCTTTGTGATTTGTTGTATATATGCAGTGACTAACCAAGAAAGTGCCATTCTTAATTAATATTTATTTTGGGTTTTTAGATTTGTTATATCGGCACCAGGCTGCTAATACAGCCCGGTGACAAACAACAACGAAGGGCTGTTCCTTTCTCTCTTAAGAAACGGAACCCAAAAAGATAAACACACCAAAAAACAAGGACACGTCTTCACTATTATCAGGCCGTATGGGTCCACTCTCTCCCTCCCAACCCTGCTACACGTGTTTCGCTCTTTTCATCCATTTGCTGCCGGCTACTTTCTTCATCAGCCCACGGTGCTGTCTCCTACACTGTGTTCGTTTATTTCATTCTATAGTCTCCTTTCTAGTATATGTCGACTCCATGTTCTCTTCTGCAGACAAAACCATATCAATATACGAAAATTAGGTTTTATATGTTTTAATATAGGTCCTCAACCGATCGGAATACTATTAAAGTGTTTACGCAAGCAAACACGATTGCGTTGCACCGTAGAAGTATCTCAGCCTAAATACAGCCACTCGTCTGCTCAGGTGGCTTACGTCATGATTTCACAATCGTCCATTTTGTTTTTATATTTCTCGAAATCATTTTGTATGTTGCATTTATGAATCATGCGCATGCGCAATTTTAGGCTTTATGGTGTATATATATAAATACAAGTACGAACTGTTACTGTTTTAAAAAGATCACACCAGATTAAAATAGATCAAAGTGTTTTTCCTACAATCTTGTATTTGTCATAGTGTAAAACACTAAAACGAAAAATTGCCTCATACTATATCCTTTTACAAAAATAACTTTAACAGTGATCTAAAAATACTTCGCACAAAGTGATATATACATATATATTTAGTTTTCGTTAAGTACAAGTGATTTAATAAATATTTTTATAATTTAATTTTGAAATGCCAAGTAGTTCAATAACTGTGTAATGTACTTATATGTATATATGTATAAACCTTTTTAAAAACTGTTGTATTCAAAATTCTATGGTTAACGGGATTAACTTAAAAACATCTTCTTTCCAACAAAAATAAAACATATACCTATATGAATCAAATTGAGAACCTACTTTTTTGAAGTTGGTTTAAATTATTTCAAATCTTTGCATTGTTAGAATAACTAACTGTTTAGGAATCTCATCATTAGTTTTTATTGTTTCCCAGGCACGCTAGCTGGATATTGTTGCTTAAAAAAGTATAAAAATGACAATTTTAGTATTATTTGGTTTCATAACAACCTTCTTACCCTGAGATTCACTACGATCGATCCGGTTTCGTACATCTCCCTTCCTTAAACTAATAAATCAACAAATGTTGCCCCCTCGTGTCAACAAACTACCCCCGACCATATGCCCCACACTGCCCGTTTACCCTTGATATGTCAATAATACAATGATAAAACTATGTACTAATGTCGAAATTTAATAAAATATTTTTAACGGTTAAACCCCCATGTAGCTTTTAACCATATAAGCGGTGCCGAATTGCAGTTAAAAATTCCAACGTATGGAAATAATATGAATCTGTTTAGTATATAATAGTATTTTGTTTTATAATAATCAAACTCACAATGAGAAAATTCAACATGAGGCAACATTTCTTTTGTCTGTTCGTTGATCGTTTATTAATAGGCAAATCGTTGATCAGACCTCGCAAGTACATACCTTGGTTTAATATTTTTTCCCAGGTTCGAACCCCACGCGTTTAACACAATGTGTGCGTTTACCATTGCGCTACAAATGGATGTTATTGAATTCCAATTCAATGCAATCAATTTTCTAACGGCTTTTAGCAAATTAGTGGTGAGCCCAAGTAAACAGCACTAAATGGAATTGACATTTCGCTACTGTCACATAATTCCTCGTTAGTTGAACAAGTTAAGTTAGGAATATAAGGAATTTAACGTTTAAAATTGATGACAGTATAAATATCGATACAAAATTTACGACTCGGGCAGGACTTGAACCGGCATCCCCAGCGTTCCGCGCTGTTGCTCTAACCAATTGAGCTAATACCTCGGCTTATCAATAACCTGCCGTCCAATTTGGTAGGTAGTATAAACCAAAATAATTTCAAATGTAAGCTAAAGGATCATTTCCTTAAGTTATTTTAGCGTTATTTTTTCTTCTCTTATTGCATGCTTAGACAAGATAGTAGATTGCTA